GCCATGGGGTGACACAGGGCAGGATCTGTCCCTGTGCTGGCACTGCTGAGGCACCTCCAGTTCTGGGGTTTCCAGTACAGGACTCTGAGGGGCTGGAGTGTGTCCAGGGAAGGGAATGGAGCTGGGGAAGGGGCTGGAGCAGCAGGAGCAGCTGAGGGTTGTTGTTCAGGCAAGAAAAGTGAGTTTCCAAGGCTGTTCATTAAAAAACATTTCCTGGGGTCAGACAGTATTTCTGATAAGCTCAATGGGGGAGGTTTAGGTTGGATATTAGGGAAAGGTTCTTCACCCAGAGGGTGATTTAGCACTGGAATAGGGAGTACCAAGGTGCGACTGTCCCCTCAGCCAGGGAGCTCAGACCTCCCACTTCAGACATCCAAGTGAGAAGGTGAATCTAAGACATTGCAGCAGTGATTTTTTAATGTAGATTTTAAAAAATATAATTGGAAAAAAGTCTTTCTGTTTTCCTGGAGGTTTTGTTTCAGTGGACGCTGGTACTTGTTCCCCCACTCAGTATTAATGATGTGGCTGTGGGCTGGGAGGGACATTCCCAAGGGGATTCCTGAGTTAAAAGACCCTGAAATCTCTGTGTTTCAGGTGAAAACATGAAGAGGGACCCTCCAGCAGATTGCTTTGAGAGCACCACCTGTGACTCAGAGGCACCAGGAAGGCCAGGAGAGAGGTTTCCCAAGGATCCCAGCCCCGGAATGACATGGGACAGCCAGTGGAATCCAGAAATGATGGAAACAAACAGCACTGGGAACGGGAATGGGTACGACCGAGGGTTTGGTGAGCACTTGGATTTCTTCAGTGCTCAGGAAAAGAGGCCCTGTGTGTCCAAGTGTGAGAGAAACTCCCCGCAGCAGGACCAGCCCCAGGCTCCACAGGGACAAGGGGAGATGTTCCCAGGCCCCACGTGTGAGAGGGTGTTCCCTCTGCTGCACCCCCAGCTGGGAGAGAAGGGGACGGGGCCGGGAGCTGCCCCTGCCCGCTCCGAGTGCGGACAGACCCCCGCGGGCACAGTCAGGCTCTGGGACCAGGACCTGGGCGGGGAGGAACCTGCTGAAAACGAGGAGAACTTCCCCATGGACACCTCTGGAGCCTGCTGGGATCCCCCCCCAGCCCGGGGCAGCCCTGCCCACCAGCAGCAGGGCCAGGGCCGGGGCAAGTCCTACATTTGCAGCGACTGCGGGAAGAGCTTCGTTTGCCACTCGTGGCTCGTCAGGCACCAGACAACCCACACGGGAGAGAGGCCCTACAAGTGCTCCGAGTGTGACAAAACCTACAGGAGGAAGGATTACCTCCTCAACCACCAGCGGAGGCACACGGGGGAGGGGCTTTTCCAGTGTCCTCTCTGCAGGAAAAGGTTTGTGCTCAGGAGGAGCCTGGTGAAGCATCAGGAAAGCCACGTGCAGGAGGCACACCTGCCGCTGGCCGGCTGGCCCTGCACGGACATCAGGGGCTCTGTGATGCATTCCATATAAAACACCCCTCCCAGCCCCCTCGGGGCAGGGCAGGACCCCCAGCTCTGCCCCGGACCGTGGTGGGAGGAGGAGGCTGTGGAACTGCCCTCCCGAGCCAAGGGAGGTGGCTGGGGGTTATTTTCCACCAGTGCCTGTAGGTCTGGGGAGGTGTGGGAGCTCAGAGGTGCTGCTGGCTGTGAATCCGCGTGGGAGAGAAACCACGTGGACACGGAACAATTTGGGATGTGTGTTACAAAGAAGAGCTATCTAACAGAGAGAAAATATCTGAAATGTTATCCCACAGCTGCTGGGAGTAGTCAGAAGGGCACAGAGCCTGGGAGGCAGCTAATTCCTGCTGATAAATCCCGGAGCTCCTGGGTCTCTCTGTTGCTGAACCCCGGGATAGGATTCCTGAAGGGTGGGATCCTTACCAGGATTTGCAAAACCACTGGGGAGCCTGGAACGTGGTTTGAATTTTGCACAGCCTTAAAAGTTGTGTTGCATTTATTTTCCCACATTGTCTTCTGTGTTTGTTCGATTTTTCCGAATCCCGTGAAAGCAGAACGTGGAGGTGCTGCAGAAACCTGGGAAACGAGGAGTTAACGTGCTGCTGTGTCCCAGACACCCATAACAAGTGGAATAGGATCTGCTGGAGAGGGCCACGTGGAGGTAGGGCAGCATTGCTCCTCCAGCCTCTTCCTTTGGGTCTGGCACATCCCACTCCAAAGCAGAAGGGAGCTCCCAAGATGCCCATGGTTAAAAGGAATGACAGGTGTCAGGGGGATCCAAAAAAACTTGCAAAGTTTTATTAGCAAATCCCATGCTCAGCATGGGAATTGGTATTTTTCCCCTTACCTCCTAATAGAGGAAAAGAAAAGAGGGAGAGGGAGATCAGAGAGGAGAGGGAAGGAGATCACCAGTCCTGGCTCCAGCATCGATCTGCCTGACACCATGTCCAGGATCCTGGGGGTGCCCCCAAACCCTGTGTCATCCTTTCTAATAGCCAAGTTTTCCCCACCCTGGGGCTTGTTTTCCCACTTCTCATGGAAATGAGTGAGCCTGCACAGTCCATTTCCCCGGATCCTCCTGGAAATAGGTCATGGAGGCTTTGAGGGTTTTGATCCCACCCAAACTGATCCACCTTTGGTTGACACTCTGTGCCTGCTCCTTGACCCCACTCCTGTGCCTGCGCTGTTGCATGTTATCTCCAGGAGCCAGAATAAGGGTGTTTATCCCAGAGAAGTGCTGCCCCATCTCCATGTGCCCCCCTTTTCCAGGCACATCCCGTCCCTCCGTGCACAGGGTGTTCTCACACCCCAGTCCTTGGCTGGCTCCGGGCTATCGGTGTTTGAGACACACACGCTGGCCCCTTATCTCCTGGCCTTCCACAGAATCCAAGCTGATAAACTTAGGCCTGAAAAATGACCAGCTTGTGACTCTCACTTGCTGCAGCAGAGCACGGGGAAAGAGAATTGTTGGAGAATTTAGACAGGAGAAAGCACAGCAGAGAGAAACAAGAGCTGAGAGAGGAAATAGAAGGGAGGAAAACCTGATTTATTGCTGTCTGTGAAAGCTGAGCAGCTGCAGAAATGGTTACAGGGAGAAGAGGGGAAAAAAACCCCAAAGTTGGGAAAAAAAGGCAGAGATGATGCTGAAGAAATGTCAGAGAGGCCAAAAATATCAGAGGGTCCCCCTCTGCAGCCACACCCTGTTCCAGTTTGTCCCTTGTTAGCCTCGTTTGGGACACAGCAGCACATTAACTCTGGGACCTGCAGCTCCAAGTGGGGCCAAATCATCTGGAACTCCAGAAATTCCCTTCCTGCCACAGCAGGAATTTGCTATTGTGCTACGTGGATGGTTCTTGAATCAGGGAGTGCAGGTGCTGCAGGGAGTCAGTGCATTGTAGCCTCTGGAATTCTTTTAGGTTTAAGGTTGGCCGATTCTCGCCCATAAATTAACCTCTGAGCAGTTTGGCACTTGGAGCATTTGCTCCAGGGCTTTTAACTCTTTGCCCTCCAGGTCCTACATCCCACTGTTAATATTGGATGTTGTGCTTCCATGTCTATTAGAAATTTTGTTAATTGTTGACGAGAACCAACTGGAATCTGAATGCCCAGGCCATGGATAAGACTCCACTTGCTGGATTTCAGTCTCTCCTGGCTTGTGGCTGTTAAGGAACCTTCCCTGTCTGATCATCCAGGAGCCACTCTGGAAGTCACATTCCCACCAGCTGAGCTGGGACAAGCTCCGGGGAGTCCATGGATCCTGCTTGACTCCACACCCCTCTCACACAGTCCAAGCAGGTTTTCCATAGCGGAGCGGATCCGGGACACCTGGATCCTTAAAATAACTTAAATATAATAATATTTATTTATATAATAACTTATATATATATATATTTATATATATAATAACTTAAAATAATTCCTTAAAATAACTTAATCATGATGCAACAACAGAGTGACAGCCGGAGCTGGTGCCTCCGGGGAGGGACCCCAAACAAAGGACACCCCGCCCCAGGCTTTTATCCCCTCACAGTCTAAGATGACAATCTGGGATGATCAGCTCCTGCTGTGTCCCAGAATGTCCCTCATTGTGCCCTTTGTTATGGAAAGGCCGGCAGTTCCCGGGCTCTTGATTGTTCTCCTCGGCAGTGCCCAGGATGCTCTTGCAAATGAACCGCCAGGATCGGATCGAACGGGATCGGTTTTCGTGTTCTCCACCCCGAGCTCCAGGAGATTCAGGGAGAATCATCATCTTTCCCCGGTTTTCGGGATCACCAAGTTTCCACCCCGTTCTTCAGGGAACACGATTAGTTCTCTAATCTGTGCAGCTGTAGCAGCCTGGGCTCCAAGGAGTTAAGGCGCTGCTGAGTCCCAAACACTGATAAGGAGCAGGATAGAACAGGATGTGGCTGGGAAGGGGGGCACGGGAGATAGGGCAGCGCTGTTCCCGAGGCCAACCTCCTCCTCCGGGCCCGGAGACTCAACAAACCCCGCACAAGGGCGGGGTAGGAGCCATCGGGGAGCTCGGCACAGGGGGATCGGGACCACCGAAGCCCCTGCGACCCTTTTCCAGAAAGGTCCGGGAGGAGGGATCGCGCACGCTGCCTGATTTGCATGGGAAGTGGGAAACCTGATCCTGGGGCGGGGAAAACTTCCCCATGAAAAGGTGTCCCCGCAGCGCCCAGGTGGCACCGCCGGGACCCTGGACACCTTGGACACCGGGATCGACGGTGGAACCGGGACTGGTGATCTTCCCTGACCTCTCCCTCTCCCCTCCTTTCTTTTACTCTTTTGTTTCTCTTACTACTAAAAGATACGGGAGTAACTCATCCCAATTTCTTACTCAGTGTGTGATTTACTAATCAAACCTCGTGAGCTCTTTTGGGACCCTCTGGCGTTTGTCGTTGCTTTTGGAACCCCGGGTATCTGCACACCCTGGGAGCTCCCCTCCTCTTCGGAGCGGGATTTGACAGCTGCTCCTTAAACATCTTCCTTCTGAGGCTGGTTTTGCTCCTGTTCAGGGTCTCTTAGGGGATTGAGTCTTTTGCAAGGACACGATTTATTCCTTTGAATAATAAGAGTCTGGATTTGTCACCTTGGCAGTGAATAATAGAGGAGCAGCAGCGGCTGAGTCGGGGCAGAGCCCCTTTACGGCCAGGGCTCCTTCCCTTTTCCTTTAGGGAAACTTCCTTAAAGGGCCTTTTTTTACGTGCTTGTTTCTGCTTAAGTTTTGCCAGGATGGGGGGGTTTTTTTTGTTGTTGGCTGGAAATTTAAGGGGGGGTTTAATTAAAATTGTTGAATGCCACGAGTGGTTCCACGGCGGGAGGGGAAGGGAAGGGCGAGGCTGAAGCCGGAGGAGGAACTCTGAGGCGGCTGCCACTCCCCAGATCCCGGGTTTCAGGGTATGTTTGGGAAGAGGCGGGGGTTCGCCTGCGCTCCAGGCGGGGGGGGGCTCTCACCCCGGGCCGGGGTTGGGGACGGCGCATCCCCCGTCCCGCCGCCGGTGCTCGGGGAGGGGTCCCGGGGGTCGGACCCCATCACGCCCCCGGCGATGCTGGGGATCGCGGGATGTGCCTCCGCCTCGGGAGCGGCCCCGCGGCTCAGGGACGGGTCCCGGTGCTTCGGGGCCCTGCGCGGTCCCGCCGCGCCGTTGCCACGACAACGAGAGGACGCCGCTCCAAATCCCCGCCCCCCTCCCCTTCTGGTCCAATCAGCGCCCCCGCTGCCCCGCGCGCTAGCCAATGGGAATGCGCACCTCTGCCCCTCCCCTTCTCCCGTAGGCCGCGGGAGGGCGGAGCCGGGAGGGGGGCGGGCCAATGGCATGGGGGGAAACGGCAAGAGCTGGCTCCCGATTGGCTATTGCCGCCTGGCGCCGCCGCTGATTGGTTGCCGCGGCTTGGCGCGGCTGAGGAGGAGGAGGAAGAAGGCGGTGATGGCGGCGCGGGGCGAGCGGGGGGTGAACGAGGGTCCTGCGGCGCTCGGGGCCCTGTCCTGCCTCCCCCTCTACAGCCCTGGGGGTGCGTGGGCGCCTCCCCAAGGCTCCTGGCCCCGCGGCACCGGGAGGGGAGCGCCGGGACCCGCGTCCCCCCACAGCTGTGGGACGGGGGCAGAGGCACAGACGCTGCCGGGGGTGCAGGGGGTGGAAGCGGGGCTGGATTGGAGTGGCTTGGCTTGAAAGGGACCTGAAAGATCATCCTGCCTCACCCCCTGCCATGGGCAGGGACACCTTCCACTGGCCCAGGTTGCTCCAAGCCCCATCCAACCTGGCCAGGGACACTTCCAGGGATCCAGGGGCAGCCACAGCTTCTCTGGAAAATCCATTCCAGTCCCTCCTCAGCCTCACAGGCAAGAATTCCTTCCCAATATCCCATCTAAACCTGCCCTCTGGCAGTGGGAAGCCATTCCCCCATGTCCTGTCCCTCCATGCCTTGTCCCCAGTCCCTCTCCAGCTCTCCTGGAGCCCCTTCAGGCCCTGCAAGGGGCTCTCAGCTCTCCCTGGAGCCTTCTCTTCTCCAGGGGAACCCCCCCAGCTCTCCCAGCCTGGCTCCAGAGCAGAGGGGCCACATCCCTCTCCTCATCTCTGTGGTCTTCTCTGGACTCTCTCCAACATGTCCATGCCCTTCCTGTGCTGAGGACCCGCTGACACCTGGGCACCAAGGAGTTGATGTGCTGCTGTGTTCCAAACTCTGATAGGAAGCACATGGGGACAGAATGTGGCTGGAGAAAGGGGGCACACGGAGGTGGGGAGCACCTTTCTGGGGCCACTTCCCTGCTCTGGTGCATGGAGATAAACACAAAGTCAGTGTCAGACTAAAGGTTGATCCAGTTGTGGATCTCTCTCTTTCCACTTTTCTTCTACTCTTTTATTTCTCTCACTACCAGAAAATAAGGGCAAAAATACCAATTCCCATTCTGAGTGCATAAGTTAATGATCAAACTCTGTGAGCTTTTTTTGGACACTCTGATCCTTGTTCCTTTCTGATCTACGAACCTTGGGATCTCCCCTCCTCTTCAGAGCAGGATCCAACAAGATCCCTGGATGGTTTTCTCCCTGTTTCAATGCTCCTGTTCAAACATCTCTGACACGATAGGGGAGCCCTTGGCACACTCCAAACCTTCATTTTTTTGGGAGTTGCTTGTCTCTCAGCCCTTTGCAAACCTTCATTTTTTTGAGAATTACTTGTCTCTCAGCCCTTTGCAAACCTTCATTTCTTTGGGAATTGCTTGTCTCTCAGCCCTTTGCTGAGTTGTGGATAATCTTTGGAGCATGGGAGGATCCCCCCTGGATACACAAATTAAGGAAGCACATGTCTGTGTGCACATCACAGGGGTTATTTAAATGTAAATCTGTGTATTCCTGGGGCATTAAGCTGATTTTGAAGCTTTTTACCTTTCAGATTGTTGAGTTGGAGCAGCTGGGAAAGCCTTGGCTCCTTTTGGTGGGGAGCTCCGTGTTCCCTGGAAATTCAGCACCACCTTTCCCCTGGGTCGCCTCAGCTCTTCCTCTGTGCCAAAACCATCTTTTTCAGACAAATTTAGGCCTGTTCGATCCCAAAGTTGATCAGGGACTCTCCAGACCCCCCCTCCTGGCGTGGCTTTCTCGGGATCTGCTCCCGTGGCCATGGTTTATTGCGCGGCCCTGAACTGCCGGAACGCCACGAGCGGCGCCCGCAAGAACAGCTCCGTGACTTTCCATGGATTCCCCCTGCAAAACGAAGCCCTCCTGAAGCAGTGGATCCAGAACATGGGCAGGGACATGGGAACCCCCTCCAAGTACGAGCGCCTGTGCTCGGCTCACTTCGAGGAGAGCTCCTTCGAGAGGGACCCCCTGAAAATCCGCAGGAGGAGGCGGCTGCTGAAGGAGGCCGTTCCCAACAAATTCATCCTGGGGCAAGATGGGAACTGGCTCGTGGGGACACCCCAGGGCTGCTGTGATGGGATGAGGAATAAAACTCGGAAGCGAATCCGGAGTCCCGAGCACCAGAGGGTGAGTGGGGTTGATACTGGGAATAAATGAAATTAAAGGAAGGTTTTGGGTGTAAAGCCTCGGAAGCAGCCTGGAGAAATATCCCTTAGAGGGCTTAATTAATAATAATATTATTATTCCCTAATAATAAGATTTTATTATTAGGGAGGAGCTTTTCCTCCCTGCCTCTGGGCTTATTTGAAACACTGAATTATTAAGGAAGAGCCACATTCCCTGAGGGAGCTGGGTATGGATGCTGACCCTGGATATTTTTGACCCAGTTGTTTGAAAAAATCATTGTTTTGGTTGAGTCACATCGTTTTTAAGGCATTTCACTCATTCTGAAATAACAGTAGAGGGTTCTTAATATAAAGTCCCTCATTATTGTGCTGGTTACACACAGGCAGACACTGCTGGGAGCAGTTGGGTGGTGACCACCTCTTAAAAACCATTGGAAAAAGAGAGTTTTTAGGGATTTACGACTCCCCAGCAGCACTGACCGTTGAACATTTTGATTTTTAGGTCCCTGGGAAGTGTCCCAATGGTGCTAAGAGGCCAACTTTGGAGGACTGGCAGAATGAATTTTGCAAGACAATCCTAAAGGAGAATTATGGATCTTTAACCGTGTTCGGAAAAGGTCAGTTTTCCCTCTCCAAAGGGTGACATGTGCTGGGTCAGGCCTGGCTCTTGTCACTCCTCAAATCCCTGGATTTTTAGAGAATTAATCTTTAGGTACTTGGGAATCTGTGTGAGATCCACACACAGTCTTCCTTTTAAAGGCTGAAGGATGGGTTTAGGATCCCTGGGAATGCACATGCCAGCAAAAACAAGGACAGAGGAGTGGAAAAGGTTTAGATACAGGAGCTGCAGTGACTCAGGAATCATGAATCCTGAAGATTCATTATTTATAGTGAAGCTGTGATTTCCTCATCCCCAAACCCTGATGTATGTTTGGGTTTGGGATTCACTGAAGGGATTTGAACTGTTTTGATGCAGAAATAGTTAAATAACAAGAGTGATGCCCAGAAAATAAAGAAATCTTGTTGATTTTAAATGCCCAACTGTATGTTTGAAATCGCTGATATTTTAAATTCAAAGCTGTGAGGCCTCCCTGGCTCCTCAGCATCCAGGTAATTCCATGGATTCATAGAGGAACCTGCTGAAATCAGGAGCTAAAAGACAGGACTGAACCACCAAATCCAGCACCAGGTGGCTGAATTTGGGGTTAAGGCTCAAATCCGAGACCTGCCACTTTCCAACAGTTAATTTTCAACCTTTGGGGTGTAATTTCTGGAATATTTTGTAAAAATTAAAACACAAATCTTGATCACCTTCATCCCACCACCCTTTTAGACACCGGAGCAACTGCATTGGCTGTTCCCTCCTGGTTGGATTTTCCCTGGAATAACAGAGATGCTGGTTAGACAGTGAGTTATGCAGGAAAACAGTCAGAGGAAAATAATAATAACCATCATTTCCATGTTCTTTCTGTTGCTTGTTCAGACTATCCTGTTCCCAAAAGTGAAATCTCGGTGGGAGAAGCAGTGCAGGTCAAGGCTGAGCAGGATTTGGAGGAAAGGAAGATTCCTGCCAGCCTTAGCACAGGTGTGAGACTCGTTGGGAATTAACTGGCAACACCTGGAACCTGGTAGGATTGGAGGGGGGCAGATTCCAGCCCAATCCTGCTTTCTTTTACCCAAAATTTGAGGGGTTTCGTGCAGATGCAAAAATCGGGAATTGTTGTTCTTTGGGAGGTTTATGGATAAAGGGAATGAGATAAAGGGAATGAGATAAAGGGAACGTTGGGAATGCTCTTGTTCCAGGCTGTGGTGGTGCCACGATCAGATCCCAGCAGCAGAGTGCAGAAAACACGCAAGTCCATGGATCATCCTCGGGAGGATCCCAAAACCTGCGCTGGCACTTTTCGGAAAAGAGGGAAACCTGGGAGAGCCACCAGAGCTCAACAAACCAGGCAAAGCCCCCGGGAAACGGGAGAGGCAGCAGCTTCCCTGCAGAAGGACAACTTGAGGAATTCAAACAGTTCCTTTTCCAGCGGCAGACCCGTCCCAAGACATCCGAGGTGCCGTGGTTCATCTGCGCCGAGTGCGGGAAGAGCTTTGCCCGGCACGCGTACCTGCTCCGGCACCGCAAAATCCACTCGGGAGTCCGGCCCCACACCTGCATCGAGTGTGGCAAGAGCTTCCTGGAAAAACCCAAGCTCACCAGCCACTGGAGAACACATTTTCGTATCATCTACGTGCCAAATGATTTCCTGGGATAGGGTTTTTTCCCCGTTCGGTTGTTGAAAATCCCCCTCGGCCCAGAGGTGGTGGTTTACAGTCCTGGGTTGATTACAGGGAAGATTTGGGATAAGGCACTTTGCCTAAATTTGATCAAGTTCGAGTTCTAAAGGCATCTGCTTGGTGCCAGCCTAATAATCATTGATTAGGACCTGATTTTAATTAGTGGCTGGATAATTCCTATCCTGCTCTATCTATCCCTTCCTGGGAGCAGGAGTTGGGATAGAGCAGCGTTGGCTGTACCCAAAGTGGCATTTAAAAAA